TCAATAACTACAAATAAAAAAATCAGTTTTTAAAAACTTAAAAAAATTATAAAAAATTTATTATATAGAATCGCCTCATCAAATACTGGAATTCATGTCAATCAAAACAAATTTTACACAGCAAATAATAAAAACGCGTTTTTTAATTAAAAAACAATATTTGATGTATTAAAAAGTTTATAAAAAAGTTTTGTAGCGGTTGGGGCCCACATTACTACAAGCACAAACAAAAATTAAAAATTATTTAGTTAAATTTTCCTTGATTGTTTTCCAAATCCAGTCCGAGTGGTAAGATACATGAGAGAAACCTTGCGGCCAGTCTTTTTGTGGACAACCAGAGTATACGAATTTAGTCACTCCTACAACAGTCCATCTGTTTTCAATTTTTAGCATGAGAGGACCTCCAGAATCGCCCTAAAAAGTGTTAATAAGTAACTTAAAAAAATTTTAAATATTTTTAACTTTACTTACAATACAAATACTACTTCCTTCAAGATAAAGGCAAAGCAAATAGTCTTCTTCATCATATGTTATACCACCAAACTTTTGTGAACATACGCTCATTGGAATAACTGACATGCCAACTATCTTTCGCAATATCTCGTCGCTTTCTGATGAGTTATTAGTGTCGCCCCAGCCTACAGCAGTAGTAAGGTTCCCAACGTAAGCGTTTATTTTGGTATCTTGTGGAGGAACACAAATTGTCCCCAGGTCAGGATTGCCAGACACATCAAGTGGTTGAGTCAGTTTCACTAAAGCAATGTCATATGTTAAATGTGAAATTTCTTCATAACTAGGATGGGGAATAAACTTTTCAATGAGTGCCATCACTTTGTGAGCTTCATTTCCGCCTACTGCCTGAGCGCTAATATTGTGGGCAGCTAGAAACAAAAGTTTGTAAAGTTACAGCAAGTTTAAGTATTTTTTGACATACCAACAACAGCTCTTGGCATATCATTCTCTACTACGTTTGAGCAATGAGCTGCTGTCAAGAGAAACTGTGGGTGAATTATCGACGCAGTACACAAAGAGCGGTAACCAAGCGTAATATTATCAGCTAATGTATGAAGCTTTCCAATTGATGCTGCAAACGGGTACTCGTGGGGCAGAGCCTCAACGCCGCCAACAATACCCAGTCCAGATTTGTCAGCAGCAAGTGGTTTAAATGGTATGGTTGGGCCAACTTTTGGTTCCTTGGTGCCGCAGTTTGGGTCGTTCTGAGCTGAAACATAAAAAATTAAAAAAAGAAAAAAACTTAATGAAATCATTATTGATTTCATTTTGGTAATAAGTGTGTGTGTTTAGATATATTTAGAAACANGTATATAAAATGTAAAATTTGCATAATTGACAATTTAAAATAAATACTGACATTTAGAAAGTTATCTAATGTGGGCTAGTTTAGGAGCATTGTAGTGGCTAACATTATTTATTTGTACCTTAAAATAAAGGTTATTGTCGATGGTTTGCCTATTTTGCAGGTACAAAAAATAAATAAAAATTTAAATTTTTATGTTTGAAAATAAACTAAGTGTGGGAGAAACAAATTTAAAAAACAAAGTTTTTAAAAATCATTTTCATTATTTTATTGCAAAGTCTTTTCTAAAAGTTCTCGTAGAGTTAAAAACTA